GTCCAATATCACTGAAGTGACGTAGCACAGCATAGCATGGTAATTCTATTCCTAGGATTTTTTTTTTCTTTATTTAGCATAAGAAAGTCTCCTTTCTTGCTCAATATCTGCAGTGACTTATTACCAAACTTACATCCTTGCCGCTGCCCCTCTTCCTAGTGGAAACAGCAGCCTCATACAGGTTTTAGCAACATCAGGCCCCCTTTGTGTGACCTCGGACTTTCAAGCCCAGGGGGAAGACTTGGCCGCTTTTCTGTCACAGACTCACCCATGAACACCCATATACACTACAAATTCACAAAGGATGGATGTACACACCTGATGCACAGAGGCATCCGTACTACTCTTTGGGCAGCCCCAGTAGAAAAAGAGATGAGAATGTTGTAAAATAACTTGAAAGTTTTAGAAAGATTTTGTTTTAGTGACTTTCTTCTAATCAAAACATTTCCCTTTTGGGGAGGAGGGTGGCAGAGGGAAAGTGGCTGGTGAAGGCCAGCCCATCAGGGAAGCCAGCCCTCTCGGGGGGCTGCAGGGGTGTCCAGCGTCAGCGCCTCTTGCTCATGATGAGCCCCCAGGACCCCCCTCCTGACATCCTGCCTGCATGCAGGGTGACTCTCCTGGCCTGCTCAAAGCCTGGCGGCATGGCAGGTGTGCCCATTGTATGGATCTCCCTGCGGCGGCCGCAGCACTGGGGCTGTCCTCTCCAGACCGTACACCCACATTCTACTGGTTGGTCTGGACACTGCAGTGGCCTCACTCAGTGATGCTTGATGTCACGGGGCTGCACACCCAGAGTTAAATCCCGGAGGGAAAGACCTCTGTTCTCATGTGCCAGACCCCCTTCCATGCCTGCATGAGCCAGGCCGTCATCACCTGGAGGGCAGTGCATGTGGAGGCTTGATAGACACTCAGCAGAAACAGCACAGGGAGATTGAGCCCCCTGAAAACGTCATTAAAATTAAATTAGTCGTTTATGCTAAGTGAAGGAAGTCAAGACTGGAAAACCAAATGCTCTGTGATTTCACTTGTATGTAGAATCTAAAAAACAAATGAACAAGCATAGCATAACAGAAACAGAGTCATAGATATAGAGAACAGACAGAGGCAGGGGTGCAGTGGGGTGAGGGAGAACCAAGAGGTACAAACTTGCAGCTGCAAAATAAATGAGTCACACGTATCAGATGTACAGTGCAGGGAATACAGTCAATAACTAATATCTTTGTAGGGTGACTGAGCATAACCAGATTTATCCTGGTGGTCATTTTGAAATGTATGGAAGCAAATCATTGTGTTGTATACTAGGAACTAACAAGGTTGTAGGTCAATCACACTTCAAACAAATATATAAATAAACTCATAGTAAAAGAGATCAGGTTCATGGTTACTAGAGACGGGGAGTAGGGAAGGGAGTTTGAGGAGTACCATCAAAAGGTACAGACTTCCATTATAGGGTAGATAATTGATAGGGATGATAAAGATACCATAATAGACATAATTTATAACAGCTTATAAATTTTACTTAAAAAATGCAATTTATAGAGACAACGTAAGTGTAATTAATACCATATGTTATATTTGAAAGGTGTTAAGAAGGAAAATCCTGAGAGTTCTCATCACACACACAAAGGTTTTTTCCTGTTTCTTTAATTTTGTTACCTGTAGGAAATGATGGATGTTCCCTAAAATTATTGTCATCATTTCATGATGTGAGTCAAATCATTATATTCTACACCTTAAACTTACACAGTGCTATATGTCAGTTATATCTCAGTAAAACTGGAAAGAAGGAAGAGAGAGAAAGGAAGGAAGGGAGGAAGAAAGAAACAAAGAATGAATGAATCGTGGAGATCCTGAAGTTCTGGGTCCGCGGAACTTGGGACTCTGGCTTTCAGCAGGGACCCCCGGCGATGCTGCTGCAGATGGTGAGAAGAGTCCTGGACTGGTTCAGGCACTGCCCCCTCCGGGCCTGGTGACCCTGGACACCCCTCTGAGCCTCGTCTCTGAGGTTGGATAATAGCGAGACTCACTGTGTAATGAGGTTATGGGCGTCATGGTGACAACAAAGACTTATGTAGTGCTTATGGTGTGCCAGGCACTGCTGTTTTACAGCTGGAGAAACTGAGGCACAGCAAGATTAAATACACCTAGTAAGTGGCAGAAATGAGCTTCAAACCTAGGCAGTCTGGCTCCTGAGTCTATGCACCTAACATCTAAGGCCAGGGGTTCTCAAAGTGTGTTCAGGGGATCTCAGAGAACCCTGTCAGGCTGTCCATGAGGTCAGAGTGATTTTCGTAACCTAGGGCATTTTTTTCCTTTTTCCTTTCTTTCTCGAATGAGTACACAGGGAAGTTTTCAGAGGGTTCACGACACAACATCCTTCTGACGGCAAGTGTGTGTGTGCTTCCGTGTTCTTGTGTTTTAAGAATCCCTCACTTTTAATTTTGATAATTATCAATAGCTAAGATCCACGTAAACAAGAACTCTTTGAGGTCTCCATAGTGTTAGGAGTGACAGGTGTCCTGAGACTGAAAAGTGTGCCATCGGCTCTTGAGGCTGTGCCACCTTGAATGTGGTCTCACTGTGCGCGGCTGGGGCTGCCTCCCGTGGTAAGTGGTCGGGGGAGAGTGGGGGCCCATCCCGGGGTGGGTGCGTGGTGAGCGTGTCTGGACCTGCTAGGGCCCTCTTAGGTGGCACTGCAGAAACTGCACTTCTGTCTGCAGCCAGCCAGCTGCCCACACTGGAGCGTCCATCCTCAGTCTAGGGGTGTCTCTGTACCCAGCCCTAACTTTGAAAAGGAGCAGACACCCTCGTGTGGCAGGTCCTTTCCCTGGTGGGTGGATCCAGGCCAGCTGCCACTGAGGCCCAGCAAGTCTGGGCAGTGTTGGAGGCTTTAGTAACCAATAAGTAACTTCTGCAGCGTTGGAGCCTTCTGTCAGCATTTGTCTTAGGCCAGGCCTCACACTGAGCCAGCACTTCGCCTGTGTTGACCATTGCACTGACGCATTTTACAGATGAAGAACCCGAGGCTCAGGGTGAGTTCACTGAGCCACTTCTAGCAGTGGTAAGTGGCAGGACCTGGGACTCAGACGAGGTCAGTCTGACGGAGCCCAGGCCCCTGACATTCCAGGTCTTCAGAATGTTGCTCAGTTCCCCTTGCTCGTCTTGCTGATGGCAAGTGCCTGGGAAATCCCATGGACAGAAGAGCCTGGCAGACTGCAATGCGTGGGGTCACGAAAAAATCGGACACGACTTAGTGACTAACCAACAACAAGGGCAAGGGGCCTCCCCAGTTCTGCTCCTTCCCCAGACCCTCACCGTCAACCTTTAGACCAAGCTTGTCGGGAGTCTCAGAGGGAGGTGTAGACAGAGTGCAGAATTCTGACTCTGCACCTTGTAACCTTTCTAGTCCCCACCCACCAGTGGACAATTGCCCCCACCTCGCAGGAGTAGGAGAGGCAGTGCATTGTAAAACACACCACGGTGCTCAGTCCCTAGTGGCCTCCATTGCACATGACCAGCAGTGAGCTGTTGTCTTTCTCGGAATCCGGCCTCAGACAAGCTAAGTCCGCATCTCCCGTAGATGTCTGGGCCCCACCCTGGCCTATGATGCAGGGCCCTGAGGGTGCAGCTGTGGTTCCCGCATTCTCAGCAAGCGTCCCCCCAGGTTTCAGGTGTTCAACAAAGCTTGGCATCCTTGTCGTGGAGGTTGGGGGTGACATTCAGCCCTCAGTAGGTAACAAAGTGGGGGTGGCCCTCAGGTGACCATAGAATTGGTTATCTAAACCAGGACACTTTGGAGCATGAAAAGGGGGGCACCTTAAATAAACACTGAAGCATGAAGGCTGAACCCAGGACTTCCTGGCAGAGGCATCATGTGGCCTCCATTGATGGGTTTCTCCTTCGTCTTTCTTCTGCCCTGGAGATGCCTTCCCCTCCTGGTCCAGATGAGGGAGCAAGTCTGGAGGTCACCTCTGGCCACACAGCCGTAACCCTGGGCCTGGACTCCGCGGCGCCCCCTCAGCCCAGGCATCATTCCCGCCGAGCCATGGCACAGAGGGGCTCTGGGGGACCCCGGGCTTCTGTAGCATCAGGATCCTTGGAAAACTCTCAGAGCCTTTATAGTGAAAACTCCAGGCTGTAAAACCCATGTCTGGAGATGGTGAGAATGGATGAGAACAGAGGATGCTGTCAGCAGGAGGGAAGTGAGCCCTGAGCGTGTTAGTGCTTCCTCTTCTCCCTGGAGCTCCGTCCTCCTGGGCCTGGCTGTGGCCTCGTGTCATGCAGCCATCGATCCATGTCCCCCTGGGCAGAGTGACGGGGAGAGGGCCGCCGAAACCAGCTCTTCCGTCGAAGCAGGCGTCCTGTTCAGGTCGGTCGATTTCCTTTCCTTCTGGTACTCGCAGGGGCCAGTTTGGTGGCAATTTCCGGTTCTTTTCTGACGAGGACACACGTGACGGTTCGTTTTTGTGCATGTGAGGGTTTTGTGGCACGTGGAGCTGCAGAGAATGCTTGTGGCAAACTCAAGGTGGTTTGTGTGCTAGACATGACAGGCAGGGAGGCACCCGAACCCGGCAAAGCCCCATGTGAAGAGTAGATGTATTTCAGGTTCAGACAGAAATAGACTCCTCCTAGGGTGTGTGCTGGCATCAGGGCTCGCAGGCGGCCTTGGGCCAAGTTTAGTCTCCATCCCAGGCTGTCCGCCTCCCTCCTCCTGCCTTTTCTGTCTGCTTCTTGGGGAGCTTCATCTAGCACCTCCAGGAATCGTGGTTTTGCCTCTGGCTGCCTCATGGTTTGGGTAAAGAAGCATCTTCTTGGTCTCCCTGGGAACAGGGGATGGGCAGGGTGGCCGGACTGTTCCCTCCCTGGGCCCCCCTGTGGACTGGCAGCACCACTGGGAAACTCCAGTTGGTCTTTGACAGATTAATAATATGGACTCAGGGGTCCCTTCTACCTGAGCTGCCCCTCTCTCACTTCAGTGTCCTTCTGTGATCCCAGGAAAGATGGAAACGCTAAAAGACAAGACCCTGGAGGAGCTGGAGGAGATGCAGAACGACCCGGAGGCCATCGACCGACTGGCCCAGGACTCCCCGGAGGTAGGGGAGGCTGTCATGGGGCCAGAGATGGCAGATGGGACTGGGGCCCTCCTCAGGGATGTTGGCTTGTTGGGAGTTTGGGCCAGGTCTCTTTCCCTTTTCTGTGGCCTGCACCCTGGTTTGGACCCAGCCAGAGGAGCCCCTGGGGTCTCAGTCCAGTTCCTGGGCCCTCTGGGAGTTCTGGGGGGAGGAAGGACAGGGCCAGGGAGTCCAGGGCCCCCAGCCAACTCTGGCTCCTGGTGTCTTCAGGGACCTGCGTGCCCCCGGAGCCCCTACCCTGTTGCTCCAGCCTGGGTTTGGAGGTGTTTCTAAAAGCACTGGTTCCATCGTGTAACCGCCTTTCGCCAACAGCCCTGAATCTCTAGGAGAGATTCTGGGACTGGGATTAGGCTCATCTCCTGTTTAATCCCTTTCAATTATAACTGACACCTAATCACCTTCAGCTCCTAGTCACCATCCTCACGGGAATAAGCCACCTTCTGAAAGTACAGAGCTTTGCATTTTATAAAGGGCGCTCCCTGCCCTTCCCATCACCTTGACCCTGTGACTACCCTGCAAGGTCAAAGAGGTCAGTTGACCAGGTGCGGCTGCAGAGCTGGCCACGCCCCCGGCCATGCCTCGAGTGGCCGCAGCCTGTCCTCAGCTCTGCACGCCGCCGCCTCCTGCCCCTGATGGTCGGGAGACGCGGACACAAATAATGGCGAGGTCATTGATCGGCCTTTGGCATGTGCGTCTGTCTTTGCTGATGAACAGTGCTGTTTGTCTCTTCTGTATATTCACAGTGTCTGACCCCAGAAAAGGGAAGCCTAGCCACCCAGCTTCTACCTCTGCCTCGGTAGACCTCTTCCCTCTCTGTGAGGGGCTGTGCAGCCGGACCTAGTCCTGGCTCCTTCCTTGCCTGTGCTCCGGCTGCCCCCACCACCCCGCTCCCTGCAGGAGCAGCCTTCACCACAGCTGGAGGGCACAGGGTGCGGGGCAGGGTGTGAGGGGAGGCTCGGGGCCCAGATGTGGTGTGTCCTGCCACCCAGAACGAGGTTGGTCTTGGTTAAACTCCAGGGCTGCCTCCTAGAGTGAGTGAGGCTCTGAGCTCAGCCAGGGCTTGGCTCCAAACTGACTCGATGCCAGCCTTCATCCCCTCGCCTTCACATGTTAAACACCCAAGTGCTCCTCCAGTCTGCCGCCAGCACAGTGTGATGGGAACACCAAGGCCTGTTCCCAAGGGCACAGAACTTTGTAGAAACATGACAAATTACATAATTAGAATTCATTGACCTCCAAGCTCGGCAGGCCCATGGGAGGTGTGGCGAAGCACAGAATCATGGAAAATGTCAGCAGAAACAACCTCGTGGGCAAAAGGCAAGTTGAGTTTTGTGACATGCAGCTGTGCCTGACTAATTGATTTGAATTCTCAGAAGGGAAGAACACTCACGGGATCGTGGGGAAGTGAAGAATGATTTCTGTAGACTCATGAGACCTTATGGACAGGGTTCCTCCCATGGGCTATGAGACATGATCATCGCTATGGGATTCAAGGAGGGATGGAAGCTCACTGAGTTTGGGGTGTGGGCATTGCTTGGAGCAAAGAGCAGGGGACCACTCTCCCTGTGGAACTGTGTGCGTTCTGGGCGCAGTGCTTGAACTGTCTTATTGACCTCTTATAATGGGGGTCAAGGGCTTCATTGTGAATTCCTGATGGAGAAAGATTTGGGGGAGGCTCTGGGGAGAGGGGGCAGAAACAGGTAGGACCAGGTTTAGGGGAAAGTGTCGGGCATAGATTTACTGGCTAAAACCCAGGGAAAAGGCAGTGGAGATATAAAGAGGACACGTGCACCGGGGATCTGGGGCCCTTTAAGGGGCAGCTGAGCAGGGCACTTCAGGCGCCCCTCTGGGTCTGCCACATAAGAGAAGGAAAGCTTTCACGGCCGATGAAAATGAGATTGGGACCCCACAGTGCAGGCGTCCCTGAGTCAGAGCCCTTGCTGAGCGGCTCCAGAGGGTGTTTGTGACAGCCAGGTGTGGGGGCAGACCCGGGAGGCTGTGTGGCCAGGCCCCACAATTTCTGGTAACCATGGCAGTCCTCTTTCCAGTCTGGAGCCTGAAGGGCAGGCTCCCAGCCCACCCCAGAGCACAGGGCTCCAGGCCCTCCGAAACCCCCTCCTCTAGGACGCCCACGGCTTCCTGCGTCTGCTCGGGGTCGAGCCAGCCCGGCGGGGCTCGCCATGTGCTCACCATGGTGAAGAAGCTGCTCAGTGGTTCCTGGCAGAAGCCGGTCTTGCAAAGCTGCACCCTGGGCCCAGCTGGGGGTGCTGGTGCCCCTGGTGACAGGCTGGCGTATAGTCCCCGCTCCCGCAGGGGTGTGGGTCTGTTTCTCCACCCTCCTCTCCCTGATCAATGGACGGGACTTCAGGTCAGAGCAGGTCTGGGAAGGGCTTCTGAGGCTTCCACCTCACGGGCTGGCAACCACGAAGGACCTCGCCGAGCGGAAGAGCACTGCTCAGCCTGGGGACATGGTCTCAGCCAGGCTCGTGCAGGGGCTCACCTGAGGACTCCCCTCCAGTTCTCCAGGGGGCCCCCTGTTAGCTCATCTGCGTAGCTTCTCTGCAGGACACACATGTGGAGGAGGAAGGGCAGGTCCGTCTGGAATTGGTCTCTCAGGCTGGCCCTGGCTTTCCCACTCCTCAGACTGACTTTATTTGGGGGCCTCCTGGTGTGTCCAGCCTGTGTTCTGGCCTTACGTTAGTGCACCTTAGAGGAGGTCTCTTGCCTCTGAATTCTGGGGATGAGCGGTTGGTTCTTTTGGTCCCTTCCTTCCTAGGAAGCCTCTGACCTTCTCTGCTCCCTCCCTGGAGTTCCACACAGCCCACAGTGGGCTCTTCCCGCTCGTCACATGTCCCTTTAGTGCCAGCTCCCCACCTGCCTCCACCACAGAGGCTGTTGGCTTAAGGTTTTGTGAGGCATCTGGATCAGAGTGCTTTGCTCAGAGTTTGAACCTGGGTCCATCTGACTCTGGGCTTTCCAGGTGGCATTAGTTAGTGGTAAAGAATCTGCCTGCCAATGCAGGAGACTTAAGAGACACAGGTTCAATCCCTGGGTTGAGAAGATCCCCTGGAGAAGGGCATGGCAACCCACTTCAGTATTCTGGCCTGGAGAATCCCATGGACAGAGGAGCCTGGCCAGCTACAGTCCATGGTGTCACACAGAGTGGGACATGACTGATTCGACTTAGCATGCACTTAACATGCCATCTGACTCTGATTGGGGGCTGAGTGTTGCTTGGCTTCCCCTCGGTAAGCAACAGGTTCCAGGAGCCCCTGGCCCAGCCCACTGGGAGCTGAGTGGCGGGTCTCATGGTCAGGTGTCTTGCCCTATAGGTCCAGGATCTGCAGCTGGAGCGGGAGATGGCGCTGGCCACCAACCGGAGCCTGGCCGAGCGGAACCTGGAGTTCCAGGGTCCGCTGGAGATCAGCCGCTCAAACCTCTCGGACAAGTACCAGGAGCTCCGGAAGCTGGTAGAGCGGTGCCAGGAGCAGAAGGCGAAGCTGGGTAGGCGGTCAGCCTCGGGAATGTGCACGGGGAGGGGTGCCTCTCTTCACTCAGGGTTCCCCATGGGGCTGGGGGAGTTGCTGGACTCTGCTGGAAGAACAGAGTCCCTCTCCCTCCCCAGGACAAAAAGGGGCCAACAGTTACTGCAGGTCACCATGTCCCCAGCCTGGCTAAGTGCTTTAGCAGCCATCTCAGTGTAGGTACTGTCGTAGTTCTCATGTCGTAGATGAGAGGAGTGAGGCTCAGAGAGACGCGGGAGCTTGGCCAGGGCCCCTTGGCTACATAGAGGCAGAGTTGGGATTTGCATCTGGAGAGCCTGGTCTGGGCTTTCTGTGTCCCAGCCTGCTGTCTGAGGAGGTGAGGGGCATCTGGTCCTCAAGGTGGAGAACTTGACACTCAGACAGAGGAAGTAACCCCATGGGCAGCAGAACCAGATTAGGGTGGGTGGGCGGAGCCTAAGGCCTCCTGCTTTCCCGGCCAGGATGGGGAGCTGGGGAGCCAGGGAGCCAGGGTCTGTTCACTGAGCTCCTGTCAGCTCAGGAAGCTGACCCGAGGGAACCGACCGAAGGGGGTTCTGCTGAGACCCCAGGGCGATGGCAGGGCCCCTGGCACATAGGACTCTCCAGGACCCTTGCAGAAACCTCAGCCTCTACCACAACATCAAGAGGCACTTTTGAAACGTCAACCTTTCTACCCTCCCTTCCAGAGAAGTTCTCCTCAGCACTGCAGCTAGGGACCTTGTTGGACCTTCTGCAGATTGAAAGTATGAAGATTGAAGAAGAGTCCGAGGTGAGACAGCAGTTGACACCTGGTCTTCCTTGCAGAGTCAGCCCCTGGAGCAGATGAACACTGACCAGGTGAACACCGGCTCCACGGTCACTAGCACGGCCCAGCCCAGGGGCTGTGGGGCCTGGCAGCATCTTCCACCCAGAGCCGGTCTGCACAGAGAGCGAAGAGAGGCCAGAGGGCAGCAGAAGAGACCAGGCAGCCCCAGGAGAGGGGAGAAGCCGGGGGTCCGGCTCATCGGGAGCAGGAGCTCTTATCCTGAGTACCCGCGTCTGCAGGGCGCAGGACCCAGGCTCTATTAGATGGCAGAGGTGAATGGTCCCTCCACCTGTAGTCCCCGTGGAGGCCCTTTGGGATGCAGGGAACGGAAACCCAGTCTAACTAGTTGAAGCGGAAATGAACGATGGATGGCACAGCTGTGGGGCAGCTGCAGGCCTTGGTGGGGAGGGCAGTGGGCAGGTACCTTCGAGGGCTGAAGCCAGGCTGCCAACCCCTCCCTCTCCTGGCAGCTCTCTCCTGCTTCCCTCTGGGCCCATCTTTACTCTCCGTGGGCAGACTGGCTCTCTCCACATCTCACTGCTCTCTGCCAGGCCCCTCAGCCCCTGGGCTGTGCTGTGCAAGTGACCAGGGAGCCATCTGGTCAATCGACACCCAGTTCAACATCTGCCATGAGCCTGGCTTGATGCCAGGGTGGGGAACAGTGGTGGCCATGACAGGTGGTCCCCACCATCCAGAAGCTGACATCCTGGTGGGGGAGACAGGATAAATTAAACACGTGCTTGTGTAATAATACATCACCAGTGAGATGAGCCGTAGAGAGAAATTCCCAAAGTGAGGGCGAAGAACGCCGCTCCTGCAGCCTGGCTGGGGTGGGGGTGGGGGCTGCAGCTGACCTCTGACCTGGTGGTATTCAGGTGGCCTCAATCCCTGCAGACCCAATGCCACTGGAGCTTGTGTCTTCCAGGCCATGGCTGAGAAGTTCCTGGAGGGCGAGGTGCCCCTGGACACGTTCCTGGAGAATTTCTCCTCCATGAGAACACTGTCCCATCTGCGCCGGGTTCGCGTGGAGAAGCTCCAGGATGTGATGAGAAAGCCCAGGGCCTCCCTGGAGCCAGCCGGGGACACCCCGCCTCCCCGCCCACCCCCGCCACTGCGCCCTGACCCCCAGGCGACGCCCCCGCCAGCCGAAGACGCTCAGCCACAGCCGCCGCAGCCTTCAGTGGTCCCTCCCTACCCTTTGCCCTACAGCCCCTCTCCAGGCATGCCTGTGGGCCCCACCGCCCAGGGAGCGCTCCAGCCGGCCCCCTTCCCCGTGGTGTCCCAGCCCTCCTTTTCCTACAGTGGGCCTTTGGGGCCCCCCTACCCCACAGCCCAGCCGGGAGCCAGGGCCCCTTCGGGCTACTCCTGGTCCCCACAGAGGAGCATGCCGCCCCGGCCGGGCTATCCCGTGGCCCCCACTGGTGCCTCTGGGCCTGGGTACCCCGTGATGGGGGGCCGGGCCCCCAGTCCTGGTTATCCGCAGCAGCCCCCCTACCTCTCCACAGGAGGAAAACCTCCGTACCCCACACAGCCCCAGCCCTCAGGCCCCCTCCAGCCCCCCTACCCCCCCGGGCCCACTCCTCCCTATGGGTTCCCCCCTCCTCAGGGCCCCACCTGGCCTGGCTATTAGGCACAGTCCTGGCCCTCAGCCCTTGCCTGCTCCCACCTGTACCACAACCTTCAGCCCACCCCTTGCTGAGACTCGAGGCTAATGGGAAGTGGAGTTGGCTGCCCACAGACTTGGGTCGCGCCAGGAGCCTGAGGGGCCCGGCTGGGAGCGCACAGGCCTGGGAGGGCTGGCGGGCAGCGTGACTGGCTCGGCTGCACCGGTGGTCCCAGGGCCTGCGGGCCTCCCAGGGGAAGGAGCGCCTGGCTCCCGTGGCTGGCTCTCGCTTTCCTGGTGCACACCAAGCGGGGCGTTCAGTCCTCCCCGTGGGTGCCCGCACCTGTGGACGTCTCCTCGTGACTGCACTCACTCACAGATGCCCGAACCCAGTGAGGAGTTATCTCAGCGAAGGGCTGGCCGGCCCCTGCTCACCCCCTCCCTCTTCTCTGGGATTTAGCAAGTGCAACCATGGTGCCCACCCCAAGAGAGGCAGCTCTCTGCGTCTCTTGGTGCGTTCAAGGATGGCCCACCGCACGCTCCATGGCAGAGTTGGATCAGGGGGAGAGAACAGAGTTAGGCAAAACAATGAGTGATTTTTACGTCACATAAAGCCATAACAGGACTCTGACAGACTGATGTCAGGTCAGCTTGTCCTTTGTGCTGCCGTTTGAACAACAGCAGCAGTGCCCGTGCAGGGAGCAAGCCAAGGATTGTGGAGGCGGATCCCAGACCTTGCTGGCCCTGGTTGGAGAATCCAGGAGCTGCCTTGGACCCTCTGGCTGGAGGAGCGGAGGCAGATCTGGTCCAGAAGACTGTGGTCACATCAGGGGATCATTTAGGAGCGGAAGGCCAGGTTGCCTCCCCGGCCACCTCTCTTGTCTGGTGTCTCCCTGCTTCTGGTTGACTTCTGTGGCTCACCCCCATCCCATCCACTCCTTTAGTGCCTTGAATCTCATCCACGGCAGCCCCCTCCCTTCCTTTGACTCCCTCCTGTAACTCTTCACGAGCCCCTAAAACCCTCCTAAGAGACATCAAAATATGCCCTAACAGTTACTTCCCCTGTGGTGCTTTGTAAAACACCATCACTATGTCGGATTCATTTCTTTGCATCTCTCTTATCTTCAGAATGTAAAGGGCAGAGACTGTGACTCTGAGCCACACACAGCCCCCACCACGCTGGGGGCTTTCAGCACCCAGTTCAGTAATAAAAATGACAGTAGACCAAAGGGGGTTGTGATGAATGGAGCATTACCTTGGTTGTTACCAGATGTGAACCAGGTCTCAAGGGCAAACTCTGGAGCTGCTATCTGTTAGGAAGTCATATGTGCCTTGAATTGTCCATTACCCAAGTACCCAGCACCCGGTGGGCCTGGGGTGCTGAGGGCCAAAGAGGAAACTCGACCTTCTGGTGCCTGCCCCTCCCGCCCTGCCCCACCCCACCTGGCCTGCGTGCCATCAATGGGTGTGTGCGATGAGATGCTCAGTCAGCCCCGTTGGTCTCTGACCAGTTGTGCTTGCTTCTCATAAGTTATTTATACAAAGAATCACTAATGGACTCTACTGGTTTGAGCACTCCTGTACTGGATGAGCGATCGCTGGTATGTTTGTACAATTAATTGCCATAATAAACTTTGATGAGTCACGAGTAGTGCTGCTAGTGTTAGTCGCTCAGTCGTGTCCGACTCTTTGCATCCCCATGGACTGTAGCCCACCAGGCTCTTCTGTCCATAAAGCTGCAGTGAATTTGAGAAGTGGCTGCCTGTGGGGGACATCGATTTTGTCAACTGAAAGGAAAATGCACAGCGTAAGACTTGTGGATTTCAGTTTTACTTGGAGACCTCATGGCAGATTATAGCCTGAGGAACAAACCCTCAGTACCTCTGAAAAGCTGCCCCAAAGAGGTAGGGCAGAAGCCAGTACTGGGTGTCACCCTACGGTCGTTTCAGCTCCTTTATGTGTCTCCGTCTCTCCCTCTAGTAGTCTAAAACCACCGTGGGCATGCAGATCCCTGGCCAGTCTTCATGTGAGGGTCCCTGGACTAGCTAGTTTTTAAAAGGAACAAGTGAATTTCCCTATGGGACTGCTGGATATTATGAGAATTCGCCTTCACCAGTTCTGTTCATTTCTCAGTTGCCTAAGAAAGTCACGACTAGCTGGTGAGAGCTATGTCCCTTATCTTTGAAGCTGAAAACCCTTGTATGGTATCTTCACTTTTGTCCTGACAAACCCCGTTAAGCTGCCAATTTGATGAAAGATGGCAGGCCAACTGCCTGCCTAATCACCCCATCCAAACCTCAGTGTCTCTCAACTGGACGATTTTCTCAGTGTTTTCAGCTGAGCCCTTTCTTTGTATCTTTCAACTGAGAATCAGGTAACTTTTTATCTGCTACCAAATTGAATGCAGGATTGTTAGCCAAGATGAGAGCTCTGAGACTCAGGAGAGAGTCACCCAGTATTCTGGACTAGTGAGGCAGACAGGCTTAAAGGGCCCTTGTTGGTACCAGGGCTCCAGATCCTTGGAGAATATCAGGTGAAGGAGACAAGTCTGCTGTGGGTCGCTTTGTGGTCACCAAAACTGTCAACTGAAAGAAAAATGCACAGTGTAAGAGCTGTGGGTTTGTTTTATTGAGGGACCTTACTATAGGACTATTACTTAGGAAACAGCCTCTCAGTAGCTCAGAGAAGCCAGTATAGATATGGTTTTGGCTTGGGAATGTATGCAGTCAGGCACATATCTTGGTTAAAAAGAAAAAATGTGACTGTTAGTTGTGATGATCAGATAGCTCAGTTAATGATTTTAATGTTTTTCTATACATAAAAAGTGAAAGTCGCTCAGTCATGTCCAACTCAGCAACCTCATGAACTGTACTGTCCATGGAATTCTCCAGGCCAGAATACTAGAGTGGGTGTAGCCTTTCCCTTCTCCAGGGGATCTTGCCAACCCAGGGATCAAACCCAGGTCTCCTGCATTGCAGGGGGATTCTTTTTTTTTTTAATTTGTTTATTTTAATTGGAGGCTAATTACAATATTGTAGTGGTTTTGTCATTCATTGACATGAATCAGCTATGGATGGACATGTTCCCCATCCTGAACCTCCCTCCCACCTCTCCCCACCCCATCCCGCAGGGTCATCCCAGTGCACCAGCCCTGAGCACCCTGTCTTATGCATCGAACCTCAACTGGCGACCTGTTTCACATATGATAATATACATGTTTCAATGCTATTCTCTCAAATCATCCCACCCTCGGCTTCTCCCACAGAGTCCAAAAGACTGTTCTGTACATCTGTGTCTCTTTTGCTGTCTCACATATAGGGTTATCATTACCATCTTTCTAAATTCCATATATATGCATTAGTATACTAGATTGGTGTTTTTCTTTCTGACTTACTTCACTCTGTATAATAGGCTCCAGTTTCATCCACCTCATTATTAGAACTGAGTCAAATGTATTCTTTTTAATAGCTGAGTAATAGTCCATTGTGTATATGTACCACAGCTTTCTTATCCATTTGTCTGCTGATGGACATCTTGCAGGGGGATTCTTTACCAGCTGAGCCACCGGGGAAGCCCAAGAATACTGGAGTGGGTTGCCTTCCCTTCTCCAGCAGACCTTCCTGACCCAGGAATTGAACTAGGGTCTCCTGCATTGCAGGCAGATTCTTTACCAACTGAGCTAAGGTGCAAGAATCTGGGTCTGAATTTCATTAAAATTTTTTTCTGGGACTTCGTGGTGGTCCAGTGGTTAACAGTCTGCCTGCCAATGCCGGGGACACAGGTTAGATCCTAGGTCCAGGAATTAAGATCCCACATGCCTCAGGGCAACTAAGCCCACTTACCACAACTGCCAAGCCCTCACACCCTAGAGTCCAAGCTGCACAAGAGAGGCCACTGCAATGAGAAACATGGACACTACAACTAAAGAGGAGCCCCCACTCGCCAAAAATAAAGCCTGCACCAGCAATGAAGAGCCTGTGTGCTGCAATGAAGACCCAGTATGGCCAAAAATGAATGGACAAACAAAGCCATGATTTGAAAAGAAAAACCTCAGCCTGTTTTTCCAAAGTATGGAGTACCTTATCCTGTTTTTCATCCTTAATGCCTTTCAGGGCGCACTGGCTAATGACTTAATCCTTGTAGAACTGGGCAGTGTTCTTTGTTTTGCGATTTCTTCCACAGCCTTCAGGGTCATGCTCTGCTGAAAGGCCTGTTAGATTCACGTTCACAGAGCCCCATCTTTCTGCATGTCGTCTCTTGAGCCGCTGCCCTCCTCTATTTCTTCACTCTTGGGACTTGGCTCTTCCAGTGTTTCGCTTTCCGGCTTTTGCACTCTGGCTTTGTTTCCATCCGAGGCATTTTCAGGCTGGAGCCTGCACGCTTGCGGTGTCCTGGGTGCAGAGCTTGGGCGGTGCAAGGCCACAGATGCCCACTAGGTGGCGCGAGAGCCTCATCGGCGCACACGAGGGGCCTCATTACTGCCACCTTCTGGGCTGACCAGGACAGTCAGCCTGTCCGCCTGTCTAGGATCCCCAGCAGGGGTCCGAGTCTTCGCATCCCATTTCTAAACGGGGATCGATCGAGAGGCAGCAGGCTGCGAAACTGGCTATGGAGCCAAGCTGTCTTCTGCCACCACCTAGCTTGCCTCCCTCTCCAGCTGACCCTGAGCTCAGCTCAGTCATCGTGAGCCCTGGGAAGGAATGTTCTGCCTTTCATCCAGAAGAGCAGCTTTGGTTGCGTCAGGAGACCAGGCTTCTGATGGACCCTTGAATCATCCCTTCTGTTTTTCCTTCCCTGCAAGGTGTTCTCATCAGGACAGGCTGCCTGTGGGTGATGCCCAGAGATGTTGAGAATCATCAGTCTTGAATACTCAACAGGGCCACACCTTGTATTAACCTTTGATGTGCAATTATCTCATGGGCTCCTCTCAGCAGCCCTTTGGCCGCCAAGTTTAAACAAAGGGAGGAAACTGCAGGGTGGGTGGTTCAGTAACCAGGTCACTCACCTGGGGGCGTCAGGATGAGACT